GTCTTCGGTGAAGTGCCTGTTCATATCCTGTGCCCATTTTTCTATTGGATTATTTACCTTTATTTTGTTGTGGTGCTCAAGTATTTCATAAATTCTGGATATTAGGGAGCTCTGGTGGCCTAGTGGCAAGAAGCTGCACTGCAATCCCAGAGGTACAAGGTTCGAATCCACCTGGTGCTCTGCTGGAGAAGGAGGGGCAATCTCCTCCTGTACCAGTCAGATCTGATTTGACGGTACACACACACAAAAATAGAAAATAGCTTATATTTTAATCACTTTCAATTTGGGTAATGTAAGATAGATATAAAGAAGTCCTGAGACTAGTTAATGTATAGAATATTGGGGAAAAAGAATATTTTATTTGCAATACATGAAGGCCTAATGCTCTTCCAGCTGTGGCCTACAAAGAAGAAGAAAAAAACCCACAAGCAAACCTAAGATGTTGCCATTTATTTCCACAAAGTTACTCATGACTGAGTGCTCATATCAGCCTCTATTTGTAACATTATTCATCATCCCTTTGATTTTGCAAACACAAAATTAGACCAACATTTCAAACCATATTTTTGACTTTGTTGTTGTTGCTGCTGTTATGTGTCATCAAGTTGCCTGCCACTCATAGCAACCCTATGTACAATAGCTCTGAAGCCTGCCCTGTCCTGAGCCAGTCTCACTGACTCTGATACACCAACCCCCATTGTTACTCTAGCAATCTATTTCTTCTGGGGTCTTCCTCTCCTGAGCTGTTCCTTCACCGCTCCAAGCATCATGTCCTTCTCCAAGGATTGCTTCCTTCTATCCTTGTGCCCAAAGTAGGTGAGACAGAACTTCACAATTCTAGCCTCCAAGGAGAAACTGGTATCACTGTCTCCAAGACAGACCTATTTGTTTTCTTTACGGTAGATAGTATGTTCAAGACTCTTCTCCAGCACCACAACCCAAAGGCAACAATTCTTCTCAGTAGTCATAATCCAGCTCTCTGTTGCATAGCAAGTAATTATGAAGACCATGAACTGGATCAGGAGCATCTTAGTCTCTAGACTGACATCATTGCTTCTCAGTACTCTGGGGAGATTCATGACAGCAAATTTACCTAATGCAGTTTGCCTTTTGATTTCCTGACTGCTGGTGTCAAAAGTGTTGATTGTGGAGCCAAGCCAAGCTGTAATTGTTAACAACCCCAATCTCTCCTCCATCTATCGTGGTGCTAACAATTGGCCCAGTGGTGAGAATCTTTGTCTTCTTTATGTTGAGCTTCAATCCTGTTAAAGACCACAGTCCTTGACTTTCTGCAGCAGGCACTCCAGATTTGCCTTAGTTTCAGCAAGCAAAGTTGTGTCATCGGCATAATGTAGGTTGTTGATGAGTTTTCCTCCAATCCTAATATCACATTCTTTCTCGTACAGTCCAGCCTCCTGAATGATCTGTTCTGAATGTAGGTTGAAATTATATAGAGACAGGATGCATCCCTGATGCACTCCCTTCCTGATTTTTAACCAGGCAGTGTTTCCCTGCTCTGCTCTGAGGACTGCTTCCTAGTCCAACTGTAGGTTTTGCGTAAGAACAATCAAGGGTTCTGGGATTCCCATTCTCCTCAATGTTAACCACAATTTCTTGTGATCTATACAGTCAAGTGGCTTTGCATAGTTAATGAAACACAGTTAGACATTCCTCTGGTACTCTTTTCCACTAAGATCTGACATTGGCAACAATGTCTGTAGTGCCACAGCTTCTTCTAAATCCAGCTTGTAATGCTGGTAGTTTTCTGTCAATATACTGTCCCATTCATTTCTGGATAATCTTCAGAAGGATTTTTCTTGTGTGTGCTATGAGTGATGTTATTGTATGATAATTTCCACACTCTGTTGAGTCACTTCTTTTTTTTTTTTTTTTTGAATGAGAATACATGTGGATCTCTTCGAGTCAGTTGGCCATGTAGTTGTCTTCCAGATTTATTGGCACAACTTGGAGAGCACATCCAGGGCAGCATCTATTTGTTAAAATTTGTCACTTGGTATTCCATCAATTTCTAGGGCTTTATTTTTTGCCAGGTCCTTCAGAGTAGCCTGACTTCCTCCTTTATCATCACCATTGCCTCTTGGTCATAAGTTGTTTTCTTGAAATTTTTCTGTGTCAGCCAAGTCTTCTTGGTACAGTGACCATATATTCCTGTCATCTTTTTAAAAATGGTTCCTGAATCATTCAATATTCTGCCCTCAGCATCCTTAAGTATTGTGACTTGAGGCTTGACTTTGTTCTTTAGGTCCTTCAGCTTAAGAAAGTCCAAACGAGTACAGCCTTTTTTATTTTCAGCTACAGCTCTTTGCACATTTCATTATAATCCTTTGCTTTGTCTTCTCATGCTGCTGTTTGAAATTTTCTATTCAGCTGCTTTACTTCTAGATTTATTCCCTTTACTTTAGCTTCTCAGTGCACTAGTGCAATATTCAGAGTCTTTTCTGACATCCATGTTGGTCTTTTCTTCTTCTTTTGTCTTTGAAATGACCTTTGCTGTCTTTGTAGATGATACTCTAGACATTTTCCCACAGCTCATCAGATCTCTGTTTGTTAATGTTCAAGGCCTGAAACCTGTCCCAAAGTTGATTTTTAAATTAAGGTGTGACAGCCTCATAAGGTAAAATTTTGATTCCTGTGGATTTGATTTTACCTTCTTTAGCTTTAATTTTTATTTGCCCGGTTACCCATGGTATACAGTGTTTGGTGGAGTTCCCAGTTTAAAACAGGTTTGGAAGCAGGAGTGGCATCCACTTCCTAAACCTCATGCCTCTGGAAACTCCATGAAGTTTGATAAAAGATGATAGTTATAGAAAGGCTTCAGGCCTTTTGTTGATAGGGTTGCCATGAGTCGTAGTTGACTAAACGACAATCAGTAACAACAATGGTCTGTTCCACAATCAGCCTGGACTAGTTTTCATTGCTGATACTGAACTTCTCCAACAATTCTTTCCACAGATGTAATCAGTCTGATCCCTGTGCACACCATCAGGTGATGGTGATCTTTCAAACGTTCCCAACATTTGCATTCCAGTCACCCATTATTATTAGTGCATCTTGGTTGCTTGTTTGATCAATTTTTGATGAAAACAGTTGTTAGAAATCATCTGTTTCCTCCTGTTTGGCTCTGGTTGTTGGTGCATAAATTTGAATGATAATGATATTAACAGGTCTTCCTTGTATGTGTACGGATATTATCCTGACACTCACAACATTGTATTTAAAGATGGATCTAGAAACAGCCTTTTTAACTATGAAAGTGACCCCATTTTTTGTTCAGCTTTTCATTACCAGCGTAGTAAATCATATTATTGTCTGACTCAAAATGCCTCATGCCAATCCATCTCATTTTGCCAGTACCTAATATATCAATATTTATACATTCCATTTCTTTCTTAATGATGTCCAGTTTTCCTACATTCATGCCTCTCACATTCCACGTTTCAATCATTAATTTCTTCTTACAACTGTTTCTTTTCCTCTGTGTTTTCAAATTTGTGTGTTCAGCCCCAGTTGCCATATCTGTTATTCTACTCTATGTGTGCTGTACTGTACGTAGAGTTTTTGAAGGCCTGTTGTATTTCAGAAATGGATGGCCAGTCTTTCTTCTTAGTTTGTCTTAATTTGGATGCTTAGCTTTGGAACAACATCTGACAGAAAAACACTTTAGTGAAAGGAGTAAATGAAAAACACTTCCCCTTACACAGATAACCATACATGCAGTGCCTTCCCCCTGAATGTATATCTTGTCCCTTCCCTTTCTCTGCTATATCACACTCTCTGCTACCCTGTCCAGCACTCACCTCACCCCAGCAATCCTTTGATATGATGGCTTAGACCACAAGTCACTTCCGTGATATCTTGCACCTCACAATGTTACTGGTCTCATGCTGATTTGTATCTCACATTTAGAAGAAGTTAAGTACCTAATTAAGTAATATCTGTTTTATTTTTTTCTAAGATTACCTGTCGAAATTTCATTGGGAAGCAGCTCAAGATTAATCCTCCAGCAAATAAAGGGATGGATATGGTAAACTTGGCTGATTCACAAAGAAAGCTTGTCGATTCAGGTCAGAACCAATATTACCTTGTAGTTCTGATTTCCTTAAAGCAGGAGTGGCCATTGTTTTCTACATGTCAGATCTTTTATAACAAAAACATTTGAAGAATTTCTTTTGTAGATTTATTCACCTGAAGGTAATCAATGTGAAACAATTACTGATTTATCTTCTATAAATGTTACTTAGGAAAGAAAAAAAAAGTTGCCATTTGTTTGTACCAAGTTGCTCATGACTCAAAGCTACATAACTTTTGTATTATCATGGACATTTGGGTGGGAGAAAGGACCAGCTAGGTGGAGGTGATCCGCGAGGATGGGTCCTTAACTGGTGAGAAAGGACAGGGTTGAATGGAGAAGGGTGGAGTTCAAATTGCCTTTGTTTCTTGGGTGCTGGGTGGATGCTGATGACTTTTTCACATGCAGGAAAACTGAAAGAAGAGTCAGGTGAGAGGAAAGGAAGTTTCAGAATTAGGTGGTTCAAGGCACCATGGTCATAACTATGTGGGGCTATCCACTGTGTGGTTGGGTATCCTAAGAAAGCATTCATGGGGTTGCATTGGAGATGTGTGTTTGAGTCATCTATTCATTGGGGAAGGGACCCTGATGATGTAGTCCATAGAGAGTTGAACTGCTGACCGAAAGGCTACACCTCTCTGGAGGTTGGACTTGCTAGTTGCACCAAGGGAAAAAGAAGAGCAGAATTCTGTGCATTTTACAGCCTCTGAAACCCAATGGAGAGTCAGCTAGGAGTCAGGACCAACTCGATGGCAATGGGTTTGAATGTACTTGATACACTTGAAGTCAAAGGCTTGTGTGTGGGAACTCAAGCAGAATTATGTGGCATGTAGATCTGAGGATGGCCCCTTGAGTATTGCCAGCATTGGAAAAAGTCAGAAAGCTAGCAATAGCGGTGGTATAGTTTGTTTAGTGTTGTGTTGCTAACTGAAAGTTCACACATTCAAATCCACTAACTACTCCCAGGAGAGATAGGCAGTCTCTCCTCATAATGATTTATAGCCTTGAAAAGGCAATAGAGGATGATATTTATATAATAAATTATAAACCACAGTAAAAAAGTTACGGTTTTCAAATTTAGTAGGGAGTTCTGATGGTGTAGTCAGTAGGAAGTTGCACTGCTAATTCACAGTAGTGGTTTTTTGTTGTTGTTTTTTTATTAATTTTAATGAAAATTTATAGATACTTAGGGTTTCCTTTACTGCAGTTTCCTCCCTGCCCCCGCCCCCCCCATTCACTCTTCTGTTTGAAAAGTCAAAGAAAAATTATTTCATTGTGATACGGTCCCTCAACCAGGTACACTCCACTGTGCAACCTTCATTCTGGACTCCTGTAATGACAATAATACCTAATGATATATCCCTTTTAAACAGTTCTTTCCCTCCTCTGTTTCAATGCAGTATACGTTATTTATCCCATCTTTCTCAGTCTTCCCTCAAATCCATGTCAGTCCTGTTTTACAACAGTAGCTCTATGTAGTGTTTGTCCTTTTGTGACTGAGATATTTCACTCAGCATAATGTCCTCCAGGATCACCCTACTTGTATAATAATTTATGAGTTCCTTGTTTTTCAGTGCAGCCTAGTATTCCATTGTGTGACTATACCACAGCTTCTCTATCCATTCATTTGTTGATGGGCACTTGGGTTGTTTTCAACTCTTTGCTATTGTGAACAAAGCCACGATAAACATAGGTGTGCAGCTTCTTTGTCTATCCGAGTCCATCAGCTGGTCTGAGGGAGGAAGATGAGCAATCTCCTCCCTTGATTTAGAGCCTCTGCAAATGGGCTGGAGATGGCAATGATAGTAGACTGCCAGGCATCAGTAAAGAAATCATTGCCACTGAGCATTTACTCTGGGGCAGTTAGAGTGGGCTGCAGCACGGTGGAGCTCCTTGTTGCTGATCTGTGCCTCATTAAGTTGCTAGAGACCAACAGAGCCCTCCCTGTGGAGGCTGAGTACAGAGGTACCAGGCGCAAACACCAGCTGGTCCCGCAGGTGCTGGGGTCGCTGTCCACCTGCACCGAGGTCCAGTGGTGCTGGCTCCATGTGAAGCTAAGAAATGGAAAGGCATAGAGGCGTGATGCCCTGGCCCCCCAGGTGGCTAGTTGCTTGAGTGAGAGGTGCATGGCCTTTCCGAACATAGGTCTCTCAAGATGCCCCAGGACATCGGTGCAGGCAGGAGATTGAAATGCTGGAGCATGGTTGCTGCCGGACAATGCTGGGTGGGGGTGTGAGGCTGTTTCCCAGCCTCACCCTCTCAGCAGCATCTTCCACTCAGGCTCTGTAGACTCTCACATTGTCCAGTCATCTGATGCACAGCAAGTGACTAAAAAGACCATGGCTTGATCAGGCATGCCTTATTCTTCAAGCTAAAATTGCCAAGCACCTCCTAGCCTGGGGCTGCCCACCCTGGACAGAGCTGTTTCCAACACAGGAGAAGGATTCTTCTTTGGAGTAGATGGTTTACAGAGCAAGGAAGAACTCCCGCCAGGACGGGGGAGCTGCTTTAGAATTGTCAGGGTGAGCTGGGGAAAGTCAGCCTCTGGTGACTAAACCTCATGCCAACAGGCCCCGAGATCAAGTTGGAACATGAAATCTGGGGTTTAGAATAAAGAAAATGAAGTGGGAGTCAGCAGCATATAAAGAACACTGATCTAGTACACTTTGAAAATAACACAGTGGGGGTTACAGATTATTTAAATATGTATATATAATATGTGCATTATTTGCATAAAATGTAGTGTGTGACTAAGGCAAGGGGTTTTATATACTCTCTCATTTAGCCATATAAGAACTCCAATATAAGAATTATTAGAATATGCTTTACACCAGGGCTGCTTAAAAATGCTTTGTGATTATTAGCATGGTTCTTACGATCTCCATTTTCAAGCAGAGACAAGAGGAAGTGGTGGAACATCTAACTGTCAGTGACAAATGTAACTGCTGGCATTCTGTTCGTGAACTCAAAAGGGCTAGGACTCCTACCAGGTAGCCCAGGAGCAAGAGAAGTGGGATATGTGAGGAGCTCCCATGATTGCCAGTGGTGCAAAGGGGAACGTGAAAACCTCTGGCAAAGAATACAGCCTGGCTTAAGAGGTGGGGCAGCTGAAAGTGATCTAAAGGAAGTCAAGCCAGGAGAGGAGTTTAAGTGAGAGGACAGCAGTCCATAGTCAAAGAACAAGTGGGCAGAACTTCACTATATTTGACTGTGTTGTTGTTAATGTGCCATCGTGGCAGGATGATTCACTGCTGACGCTCCAAAGGGAGATGCTCTCTGAGCAGCGGGTGGATTCAGACCTTCTGCCTTTGAATTGACAATGCAGCTCCTTACCCACTAGACTACCAGGGCTCCCTGTATTTAGCCACAGGGGAGGTCAGTGTTGGGGCATTTTTGCCACCTCAGCCCCTGCCTCAGCTGTCCTCTTGCAGAAGTACTCTCTCCCACCGAGCTGTCTGACTGCAAATCCCTCACCTGTCTGTATCACACTTCTTTTCCATGAGGCGGACCTTGACCACTCTGCCTATCTCCTCCCAGTTCCTCTCACTCTATTTACATTTCCTTTTTCTTGAAGTAGTCATCACATTGTGTAGTTTTTTTGTTCTTCTTATATGTATTTATCACCTATTGGTCTCTCTTGCTGAACTATAAATGCCATGAAGACGTGGGTCTTGTTTTGGTTTGCTGGTAAAATCCAAGTGCTGCTATCAGCTACAATCCAATAGAGTTTTCAAGGCCATGGTATTTGAGGCATGGATTGCCAGGCCTTTTTTCCGAGACACCGCTAGGTGAACTTAGTAACACATTCATAGCGTGTTGGAGCTTCTGTACTTCACCCTGACCCAGAGGTGTTTGCAGTTTTCTTCCAAAAGACCAAATTCTCTTGATGGTTTCCACACTGATTGCTGCTTTAGAACATCATAGATTTTTCTTTCGGCCCAATAGCATTGGGTGGTAATGCTTGATATGTTTAATTCTTCAGAACAGATACTGTAATGCTCCAGTGCCCAGAAACATTTGGTGTTCCCATTACTTAACAGCATCCTATTCTCCCTTCAACTATTTAATAATGCATATGTAATTTAGGGTAGTCTCTGCAGGCTTTGGAGAAGTGAGAATATCTCACTTTATAGATTATTCTTTTACGGATGAGTAACTTGCCTGCTTGTTAAGCTCCATAGGGGAGACAGCTCCATGGGTATTCCTTTCGCTGGAACTGTTTTGCATTCTTTCTGGGATATTTTTCTTCAGCTTCGACTTCACAGGTGTTTAAATTCTCTGGTAGGGTGCTTCAGTCCTCTGGTGTGTTGGAATTTTCACCCCTTTGACAGTTGGGCATTATTTTTGCTTCTGGGCATTTGAATTGATGTATCCAAGCTCTCAGAAAGCAGCCTAGATCTCAGATTACTCTTCGGATCCTCCCTTGGTAGGCCCATCTCTCTGGAGTCATTGACATTTTCATTTCCACATCAGGGCAATGAAAGACATCGTCATTTTCTTTTTTGCTCTTTTTTTTCTTTTCATTTTTTCATTTTCATTGGCCTGTTTCAAACTGTGGAGGCTATTAGTGCCTTTGGAATAGCTTCTGGAATTATCTATGGGCATTCTTTGAGAGGAACTCTCTCGAGACAGAGCTTTCAGGATAAGATTTCTGAAGCCAATGGCATTTCCTTATTGCTTTGCATCATTTATTTCGTGATGCTACAAAACTACCAACAGGACCCTAATTAAGACTATGAGGGGAAAAAAGGTGTTGGAGAGTTTGAAGAAAGAGAAAGTGAGAGTACAACAATCTTTTGCTATTAGTGGCCATCCAGTTGACAATACTCAAAGCAGCCCTATCTGTGTCTATGAACAAAAGATCTGGAAGTTGCCATGCTCAAAGCCTTTGTTATAGACACTGTGTCAGTCTATCTCATTGAGGGTCTTTGTCTGACCCTCCACTTTTCCCAACATGATGTCCTTTTCCAAGGACTCATCCCTTCTGACAATGTG